GAGGGGAGGAGGTTGTTTGGTCTTGTCATTCTTCTTCTTGTTCTTGGAGTCAGGCACGTACCCAACCCCTTCCTTGGCCACACCTCCCTTTTGGTTGATCAAGAGATCGTTGAGGTTCTTCTTACCTTGTATGCAAGTCGCAAGACCTCTCTCAAGTTGCTCCTTCAACTTAGCATTTTCCTCAACAAGATGTATATGCTCACAACACGGGTTAGTAGCATTTGCATTATCAATTAAAACCATATGAGGAAAAGTTGATTTCTCCTTAGTTAGCTTCACTTGGAGTTGATCATGAGACTCCTTGAGACTAGCGTGAATACCCTTCAAGGCCTTGTGGGCCTTGTCAAGTATATCAAACTCCTCTTTGAGTCTAGCAAGATCAACCCCGAGTTTGGCCTTCTCGGAATTTAGCACACGAGAAACAATGAGGGCATGATCATAATCTTTATTTAACTTAGCATGATCAACGTTGTGTGACTCCTCAAGAGCCAAACGAAGACCACGCTCTTCCTCAAGAGCATTGGAAAGATCCGAAATCTCATCGACATAGTCACGACCTTGCCCTTCCATCTTAGAGATGGTGTCTTCGTGAGCCTCGATCATGTCATTGGCCTCACCAAGTTGTTCCAAGAGAGCAACAAAGTGCTTCTTGGATTTTCCCTTGAGTTTGCCCATAAAGGCCTCAAACTCGTTAGCCTCCACATTAGCTCCCTCAAGTTCATTAATGCTATCCGTTGGGGAAGGATGATTAATGATGGTAGTTTTGATGTTGGAGGTTACCTTGTTGGTGGCTTTAGCCATGAGGCACTTGGCGGTGATGCTCTCGTTGGGTGAGTCGAAGAAAGACACCCGTGACGTTGTTGCAATGGCAACAGAGGCCATGGCAACCGACTCATCGTCTTCATCATCGTCATCATCCTCATTATACTATTCTTGCACAACCAAAGCCTTGGGAGGAGTCTTCTTGGTGAAGTTGTTCTTGTTGGGGAACGACTTGGCCTTGTCCTTTAGGATGAGTTTGCCACCATTGTCTTCCCTATTCTCATACGGGCATTCCGCAACGAAATGACTCACGTTGCCGCAATTGTAGCAAGTCCTTACACGTTGCTTGCCCCTTGTGCCACTCGAGTTGTTTTTGCTAAAGTTGGGCCTTGAGTTTTTCTTGCTCCAAAATTGCCTCGAAGCAAGTGCCATGTGTTCATGATATGCATACTTCATATCTTCGGGGTTGCTCTCCTCTTCTTCCTCTTCTTTTTCTTCCACGTTGAGCTTGACCTTCAATGCAAGGTTAGGCTTCTTTGCCCATTGAGAATGGAGCACCGCATTGTCGGCGGTCTTGTCCAAAATGTTCATGGCCACAAACTCATCCAACACTTCGCTTGAGGTCAAAGTGTGGAAGTCCGGTCTTTGACGAATGACGGAGGACATGGCCTTGTGGTAGGGCATCATTGCCTTGAGGAATTTGCGCTTGATCCAATTGTCATCCGTGTCCTTGCTCCCATGATCTCGTAGTGAGACCGCGAGTTTGGTTACTCTCCGATAAAGCTCACGAGGTTCTTCATCTTCCTTCATTGCAAACTCATCGGCCTCATCTTGTACCACTTCATAGTTGGAGTGTTGAATGCTTGCGCTTCCCCGGTAGAGAGACACGACACAATGCCATGCATCTTTGGCCAAGGCGAAGGGACGAAGATGAGGTAGGTCTTCGGGTGGAATTGCATCTTGAATGATGAAGAGAGCATTCTCATTGAATTGATTGTTCGCAGCTTCTCGAGGAGTGAAGTTGCTTGGATCATGTGGATAGAAACCTTCTTCAATGATTCTCCAAAGGTTAGTGTTCACATGATTTAAATGACGTTTAAAGCGGTAAACCCAAGAATCAAAACCCTCATTTTTCACAATCTTAGGGGGAGGACCGGCATGATTCAAATGAGTGGAAGAAACCGGTCCACCATAAACAAGTGGTGGTTCCACATGGGCAAAGATGCCGGTGCCATTCTTGCCACTAGAAGAAGGAGCCTTTTCACTACTAGCTTCCCCCTTGTCGGGGATAGCATCCGACACCTTGTTGGCGGAATCACCCACTTTCAACGGTGCGGTGGATAGTTTAAGCCCCTCAAGAAATTTAGTAAACATGCTTTCAACTTCGGTCGTCATGGAGGTTTTCAATGTCTCCAAGGCCACATTGAACTACTCACGAGAGACCGAAGTTCCCCCATCTCCCGTAGACGAGATCGGATTCACACCGGAGTGTTCCTCCACACCATCTACGGTATCAACCATACTCTTTGGACGGTAAAGTCCTTAGTAAAAAGACGAGGCTCTGATACCAATTGAAAGGATTGATATGGTTGACTAGAGGGGGGGGGGGTGAATAGGCAACTACCAATTTTTAGCTTTTCTTTACCAAATTAAACTTTGCATCAAAATAGGTTGTCTAGATGTGCAACTAGGTGAGCAACCTATATGATGCAATAACAACAAGCATACAAGCAAGCAAGGGTAGAAACACTAAAGAGCTTGCACAAGTAAAGGTAAGAGATAACCAAGAGTGGATCCGGTGAAGACGAGGATGTGTTACCGAAGTTCCTTCCTTTTGAGGGGAAGTACGTCTTCGTTGGAGCGGTGTGGAGGCACAATGCTCCCCAAGAAGCCACTAGGGCCACTGTATTCTCCTCACGCCCTCACATAATGCGAGATGCCGTGATTCCACTATTGGTGCCTTTGAAGGCGGCGACCGAACCTTTACAAACAAGGTTGGGGCAATCTCCACAACTTAATCGGAGGCTCCCAACAAGACCACGAAGCTTCATCACAATGGAATATGGCTCCGAGGCGACCTCAACCGTCTAGGGTGCTCAAACACCCAAGAGTAACAAGATCCGCTAGGGATGAGTGGGGAATCGAAAATCCCTTGGTGGAAGTGTAGATCGGAGCCTTCTCAACCACTCCCGAGCAAATCAACAAGTTTGATTGGCTAGAGAGATAGATCGGGCGAAAATGAAGCTTGGAGTATTTAATGGAGCTTGAGCAATAAATGGAGCTTGGGGGAGGAAGAGGTGGGTGTGAAGGAAGAAGGGGACTCCCTTTTATAGTGGGTGCAACAATCTCGTTGCCCCCACCAACCAGCCCTGCACAGGGCGGTACTACCGCTGAGAGGGGGCGGTACTACCGCCAGGACAATGGTACTGCCGTGCCAGCCAGCGGTACTGCCGCGCTGAGGAGACTAGTAGGGAACGGACCCAAATGCGGTACTACCGCGGTGGTAGGGCGGTACTACCGTTCCTGGAACGGTACTACCGCCACTACAACCGTGACTAGTGCCGCAAAATCCGACACGAGAAAAAGACCTCTCAAATCGAGGCGGTAGGAACCAGACTGCCCAGCGGTACTACGGCAGTGGGGTCAAGGGCGGTAGTACCGCTGCGGAGCGGTACTGCCGCTTGTGACCCTTCGGCCGTAGTACCGCAGGCAGTGCGGTACTACCGCTGGGGCGAGAGAGAGAGAAGAAATCTCTCAAAGAAGCTGAGGACAAGGCGGAGGTGCCAGGCCCCCAGCGGTACTACTGCTGTGGAGCCACGGGCGGTACTACCGCTGCGGAGCGGTACTGCCGCTTGTGGCTTCTCAGCGGTACTACCGTTGGGTGCGCGGTACTACCGCTTTGACCCAGACAGGACAAAGAAGAGAGAGGAGAGATCTCTTCAATGGAAAGGAAATGCTCGGAGGGTGAGAAGCTGATGTGTACGTGATGATTCCACCCATGCAAAACCCCAGCGGACCCCCTCTTGATAGTACGGTGCCCTCTATGCAACTAGTTCACCGAGAAAGAAACGAAAGAGCTACACCGTCTTGAAATACACTCCGAGGGGAAGAAGGCGTCTCGTGCCAGGGGAGAATCTGTGGATAATTCAAAGCACAAGATTAGTCCGCAAACATGTTGTCATTAATCACCAAAACTACCTTGAGAGAGATATGACGTAACACCATGTCTGTTGGCTGCCCGCTGGATCAGAACTAGGGTAAGTTTCTCGACGGGTCGTTTGTTTTTTGGAGGGTCAGTGAACGAATTAAGTTTTTTGAGGGGTCGTTTAGTAAAAAATAATCCAATTTTCCCATGATCTCAACCTTAACAGTAGCAATGCGCCATTTGGCCAGACATACAATTGATACTGTAGAGATAACATCTCAAATCACCACTTGAAAAATGAGACTGGATCAAATTGCTACTTAAGATGTCGTATGCAAAGAAACTCCATTTCTTTTTTCATGTACACCATGCAACTACACAAGTTCTCCAAATATGGAAAATGCAAACCCAACTCCAACACAACTTATTTTTGGAGGGGGTACTCCAACACAACTGGATAGTGTTTTTTTTTTTTGAGAAAAAACTGGATAGGCCGAACAATCTCATCATGTACGGGCCGAATGGGCCGAGCTGTTGGACCGTTCAAGATTTGCGGGTCAGCCCACCGTCGCAAAGTTTCCGGTCCTGAAAAAAAAAAGAGTTTCCAGTGTGCGCCTCGAGCAAAGCCACCCCCTCCCTCCCCCAAACCCCCACCTCGTCGGTGCCACCCCCATTGCCGCCGCCGGAGAACCCGCCCTCTGGAGGTGCAGCCGCCCGCTGATACCATCGTCCTCTCCGCCGCCATGATTTGCGCAAGTAAGCTCTCGTCTCTCGTCCCATCCCTACCACCGAAACCTAGTTCCACGGCCCCTCTCCTATTTCCAGGCACTAACCCGCCGCTTCCTCCTGCTGCCGCGCCCTCTCCCCTCAAGTCTCCGGCGAGGTGCCGGAGGACCCGGTCCTGTCGACCAAGTCGGGGCTGCTCTTCGAGCGGAGGCTCATCCGGCGCTACATCGAGGTCACCACCGTTTCCCCCGCTCTAGGTTTCGCGTCAGGCGCCCGTCCGTGCGCCTGGGCCTTTTTCCCTGATTTTGTTTTGGTTTTGGTTCCCCAGGACCACGGGAAGTGCCCGGTCACCAAGGAGGAGCTCGCCATGGACGACCTCGTGACGGTGAAGACCAACAAGGTGAGGCCTGCACACTGTGTCTCCTTCCCTCAATGCGGTTCCAGTGTTTATCTTGTTGTTCTGAAGAACTTGTTCAGACACTAGGGTTTGGTCATGAGCCTCGCTGATGCCTGCTAGTGCCACACTTTGTAGTCGCCTACTTTGGATTGGGTGTTTAGCAGTCCTTGACTACAAGGACAGGACACGATGTGGTAATTACATGGTACATCTTAGTATGTATGGGGTGACAGTCTCTTACTTGTGGAGGACATCATGTTCAGGATTCTCGGGTCGAAGGTTCTCGTAGTACGATCTTGCTACTTCAGAAAGATATCTGATAGGTTCTCAATCAGACTTACATAACGGAACAAGGACATTAATTAGGGTTTAGGATTTGCAGTGATTTTGTATTCTTTTGCATGGTTCAGTAACTGGGTAATAGCATTTGATCAGGCACCAGTATTTCCACACAATGTCGATTACCTACATAAAGGTTTTAGCCATGAGCGTGTACTGAAATTAAAACAGTAATCATGTATTAACCACCAGTTGATTGAAATATTGGTTTCTTAGATAGGGTCGATCTTTGTGATAATCTATTATATCCAAACCACAATTGATAAACCTGACTCCAAATGTATGCATGCACCATTACTTGTGGCGCTGAAACTTCTAGCTTAGAGAATGGCAAAACAAATTGACATCCTACTTGTTTTTTTAGGCTGACACTCATACCTTGTTAAAATAAACTAGTCTCATATGTTGTGTATACCTGTCAATTGAAGAACTCTCGTTTTTTGCAGATTCCTAAGCCTAGACCTCTGCAAGCTGCAAGTGTCCCTGGACTCCTTGGTATGTTTCAGAATGTAAGTGCCCGCTTCCTTCCGTTTACAGTTTATATATTTGATTTTGTAGTCATCGTAATTCTTAAGCATGTTCTTTGTATTGGAGGCCATTGTTGTAACTTCGAAGAATCAAGTTAAGTTCTTTTGCCTAAAGACTGGATATGATTCACAATGTGCTTATGTTTAAATTCAAATAGGAAGAAATGAGTAGTAATTGAATACGAACACATTCAGCTCACAGAATTTCCCTTTTGCTCTTTGACATTTTAAGACGACTCATGATTTTGTTTTCCTTATGTAAGACTACTGAATTCACTTCCTTTTTTATGTGGGTATTTAGTGCCATGAAAAACCGTAATAATCTTGAGATATTCTAAACTGTACAAAAGTATTCTGCTTTTATTGTACTTCCAGCTTGTTGGTAATGGGTAATGCATTTGAGTCTTTGCATATTCCTGTAATATTCTTTTTATGGTGAAGCATTTGATCTTCTGTTGTTAAATAGTTTGGAATTCTTATCGAGCTGCAAGTGCAGATTTAGACTTCTTTCCTCTGATGTTGCAGGAGTGGGATGCTCTCATGCTGTCTAATTTTGCTTTGGAGCAGCAGCTACATACAGCAAGACAAGAGCTCAGTCATGCGTTATACCAGGTTTTCCAATCTTTCCAAATAGTGTCATGAATTATATACACTTTTTTTATTGTGTTCAACAATAAAGTATTCTTCCTTTAAAAGTGCAAGTGCCATTTGATATCAGGATCTTGATAAAACCTCGTAGTTGCCAGCTAGTTAAGTTTCTGACATTTCAGCCTTATGGATGTTTGTGAATGTGCTTAGAGGATTTCGGAGATTTATACAGCCATAGCTAGGACATCTTTGTGGATCACCTGGATAGGAGGTTCCTTAAATTATTTCTAGAAACGCTTTATTTTTTAGTCTTCTTTCATGAGCATGATCATCATGTACCCATTGGTTTTCACTAGCTTGTTTTGCCCATTTCCAGCATGATGCTGCTTGCCGTGTTATCGCCAGACTAAAGAAGGAAAGAGATGAGTCTAGGACACTTTTGGCTCAAGCTGAAAGGCAGATTCCTATTTCAGCTGCAGGACCTGCGCCTGTAGCTGCTGTTACAAATGGGAAAAGAGGTTTTCACCATTCTAACATGTCAAAACCTAACCTTTTTGTCTGTTCTGCTCTAATCCTCTTTCCTGGATACACAGCTTTGGAAGATGAAGTGGGTCCTGATGGGAAGAAGATACGTCCTGGTATTAATCCTGTCATCATCGATGAATTAACAGAATGCAATTCTGTGCTCTCAGCACAGCGCAAGAAACGGCAGGTGTGCTTCTCTTCTCCCTAACAATCAATTAAAGAAGGACCTAAAATTTGTTGTTTGTCAAACCTGTCCTGTTTTAGTTCATAGGAAACTTGATATGTCCCTCTCCAAACTTGCGTACTACATGCCTTACTAGATCAGATCATATAAAGATTATATGCCAAAAATAATTGTGGTTTTTACCCACTTGGTTTTTTGTCTTGTCTTGTTGAAATGGTACACTAATTTCTGTGTTTTTGTCAGGTACCTCCAAGTTTAGCACCAATTGATGCACTTGAAAGATATACTCAGATCTCCAGTCATCCACTTCACAAGACGAACAAACCAGGGATTTTATCTATTGATATTCATCATTCAAAGGTCAGATTATTATTATTTTTCCTTGTTGATAAGACTTTGATATTACAATTGTAGTTTGACTATGGTACATGCATTTCAAGTTCAGTTTTAAAAAGTGGCAATTTGTATGCTTGAATAGCGACACTGCAATGGTGGTTGTTTACTTACCTAATTGATTTCTATATTTATCACCAGGATATTATTGCTACTGGGGGTATCGATACAAACGCAGTTCTTTTCGATAGGCCATCGGGTCAAGTATTGTGCACTCTTACTGATCACTCAAAGAAGGTCCATTGCGGAACTCAAACTCACTGACTCTCTCCCCATCATTTTACATTTACATATGTTAATATAGCTTATTCCTATGCACAGATTACGGGTTTGAAATTTGTTCCCCGGGATGAGCTTTTGATAACGGGATCAGCAGATAAGGTACACCTACAGATACTGTATAGTAGTAAAGTAAATCATTAATGTGATATCAGCTATATCAGTATCAGTTCTAGAAAAACTTTTGCATTCACCAAGTTTCATTCTGGTGATTAGGGCTCCCTTACATAAATATGATTAAAGGATAATTTATTGACCAGTAATCTGATAATACCATAGTCATCACACCACTCATCATTATAGGCTTCACTCTTTTGTTTGTAAACTCTGCAGACTGTCCGTGTATGGCAAGGTAATGAAGATGGAAGCTATGGTTGCAGGCACACAATGAGAGATCATGGTGCAGAGGTTAGTTTGCATTGACATTTGTCTCTGGTGAATGCCTGCTTATTTGATGTTTGCAATCAACCTTTAGGGGTTTGAGAAGACTTATTCGTTGTTCACAATGAAATCATATGAATACTTAGCCTAATCAACAGTTAAGGAAGAGATCAAGAGCTGGACTGGGATTTGAGAACACTTCTTGGTTATTCATAATGAAATTATATGAATGCTTAGTCTACATAGCCAGTAGCCCAGTACATGAAGATTGGAAACGAATAATTAATTCAGTATCAATTCATATCATTGTATGTTAACTAACAGGTTGCTCACATCCATGGCAGTCAATCTGCTGTATGACTTACTGTTGCATAACAATACTGCCAGTTTTACTTGTTGGTTGAATTGAATGATGCAATATGTTAGAGAGCATCTCCAGTTTTTGTTTTTCTCAAGAACTATAATACGAGTATATATGTACATCAATTTCTGAGATCTAGAAAAACAATTAGTTCTCTGTTAGTTCTCAATGTTGAACCTTTTTTAAAACTGTGGAAATGGTTCGGCTACACTATTATTAGCTTGTTTCCTTTTCGTGCATGCAGCGACGCTAGCTAGCAGAGGATGTTCTTGCGTTAATTTCATGTGGGTCCTGTGCATTTTCTGTATTTTGTTATTTGAATAATCTCGCTGTTGATGCTGCTCGTTGTATTATCCTACGTTCTGATTTTTCTTTTGAAAATGTACCAGGTTGAAGCTGTCACGGTCCATGCTAGTCAGAAATACTTTGCAACTGCCTCCAGAGATAACACATGGTGCTTTTATGATATTTCAACAGGGTCTTGCCTCACACAGGTCTGGTACTCCGCATAAATTTCCAGAAGCATGTACATCTAGAGATCTACCATTTTGATAAGTGCTGTTATTCAGGTTGGCGAGGCTTCTGGACAAGATGCATACACGTCAGCAGCTTTCCACCCGGATGGTCTTATCCTTGGAACAGGCACGTCAGAAGGTGTTATCAAAATTTGGGATGTAAAATCTCAGGTAAGACAAGGCAAGAATACTATTCAGATTAAATTCAGGTTGACGTCCATGCCATCCTCTTCTAATGTCTCATCTCGTGATTGAAAATTTATATTTGCAGACAAGAGTTGCAAAGTTTGAAGGGGAGGTTGGGCATGTTGGAACAGTGACTGCTATGTCCTTCTCAGAAAATGGATATTTCCTAGCGGTATATTCTGTGGAAGTCCAGATCTTTGCACAATAACTCTGGATCACTTGCTGTTTCATACTGATACTTTCACCATCGCTTTACAGACCGCGGCCCTTGATGGTGTGAAGTTTTGGGATCTACGGAAGCTGAGAAATTTTAGGACCCTCTCTCCATACGATCCAGAATTCTGGTAAGGAGATCACTATTTTTTTTCTAAAAGAAATGCGAAAGTACTGGGTTTCTACATAAATTGCAAGTAGATATTTGGAAGAAAACTGCTCAAACTAATGTGAAATAAGGCTTCCATACAACCAGAATCCGTATTTTCATGAATGACAAGACATTTTCTCTTGCAGTGGAGTTTGACTTTAGTGGGAGTTATATCGCTGTTGCTGGTTCTGATATAAGGTATGCTACCGACCGATCCAACTTAGCTGCATGGTATTGTTATACTGTAAGGAATGAAATGGCTCAGCTCACGATATGTTGTTAGCTTTGCGCTGAATATAACCTCTTGTGCATAATGGTTGCAGGGTTTACCAAGTAGCCAATGTGAAGACGGAATGGAATCTTGTCAAGACATTACCAGATTTATCCGGCACAGGTTCGACATAGTATTTATCTGCTCTTCTCCAATGTCGCGGGTTCCTTTGTCAAGGGCAAATTAACATGGCTGTGTCTGTCCTTTCCAGGGAAAGTGACATCGGTGAAGTTCGGGGCAGATGCCAAGTATGTGGCCATAGGTTCCATGGACCACAACCTGCGCGTATTCGGGCTCCCTGGAGATGAACAGATGGAGGAGGCAAAATCAGAATCAGCGGTGCAATGAGTAGACGATGATACATGTTGTGATTTTGCTCAGGGTGCCACAACCATTTTGCCGTTGGTAGTAGTCGGTGTCGTCGAGGATACGCTTGAAAGAGGAATATGCATGTCCCTGAACTGAAGCAGCCCGGCGGTCCAAGTAGTTGATCAAACCTGTGGTGGGGCGAGCCACATGTTTTTGTAATATATAGGTAGAGTTACCGGATGTATGTATGAACTTGAACTGTACAAGGCGGCGGTGACTTCACTGAGCAAAGTCTCATCGTGACTTTACCTAGGTGAGGGCCATCGGATCAAGATCTAATGGACAAGATTGGTCTAAATTTTATGCTCAAAATTCAAACTGTTTAGAAAAAATTGAAAAAATTCAGCTAAGTCATATATGTTCCATTGGATATTCTGGGAAATTTTCGTTCCATTTGGATAAATGGTTTAGCAGCTAATTGTGTTTTGAGCTTGAAATATAAAACCCTATTTAATCATAGACCGTTTATCCAAATGAAACAAAAATTTCACAGAATATGGAATGGAACATGTATGACTTACCTGAATTTTTTCAATTTTTTCTGGGCAGTTTTAGTTTTGAGTACAAAATTTGAATCAATCTTGGCCACTGGATCTTGATCCGATGGCACTCACCTAGGTAAAGTCACGATGAGACTTTGCTTAGTGAAGTCACCGGATCCCTGTCCGTACAGGCAGAAGGCCGTGGCTTTCCGAGGTTAAACATTCAAAATGTTTTTTTCTTTCTTGTGGTTAAACTTAGCAGTCGGCGAGGTAGGCGTCACAGCCGAGTCACTGGTGAGCGGTCCACGGTGCTGTCACTTCGTGTTAACCACGATGGATGCATATGTACCAGTTAAGTTCATTAAGATGTCGCTCGTCATAATTTAAGCAGCGTTCATGTCGATCGACCCCATCCATCCGCCTGCACACCAACAACAGCGACCAGCAATCAACATGTGCACGCAGCTTGCTCCTACCGACAATATTTGCTGCGACTTTGATAGCTTGACTAGGAGTACAAGGAGTCTACACAATATGGACGAGCTTTTAATTGCAACTCCTTTTGTATGTGGAGAAAACCCGCTGAAACCGTCCTTTTGTTTGACTTGTATACATAGAAATCATACATTGGCACCATTACAGACCTTTGCATAAGCTCAACACATGAAAATAGGCCCTCCCAAATCTCATAATCTGAAATGAATAGGACAAGAAAATAGTTTCCAAGAGCTTTTTTTCTCCGGCGGGTTCTTATTTTATTCATTTCCATTTCCACCGGAATTCATAAGCCAGTTCCCCTACAACTCAGGAGGTGTTTGTTTCGTCAAATTCTGCCCGTCACCTGTTTACAGTGTAAACGGATACCCTTACGGGCGTTTGGTGAGACACCTCCGTAATCACGTTCCTCCGTAATCAGTTCCGGGTCAGTTATCGAACGATACCCCCCACCCCCCACCGGTAAACGCTTCCTTACCGCCCCCGACTCCGCTCCTCCCCGCGACTCGCTCCTCCCCTCGATCTGTCCCGCGCCGCCGCCTCCCTTCGAGTCCCGCGCCGCCGCCTCCCTTCGAGTCCCGCGCCGCTGCGCCGCCGCCCTGCCGCCTCCCTTCCAGTCCAGCGCCGCCGCACCACCACCTCCCCTCGACCCCCTTCGGTCCTCTCCTCCTGGTCCAGCCGCTGGGTTGACCTCGCCACACCAGTCGCCGGGAACGACCACGCCAGCCGCCTCCGATGCCGATGAGGGTGGACCATTGAAGCCGCGTACGAGGAGCAGCAAGGCCCGTCCGCCCATCTCCGGATCGATCTCTTCCTCCTCCGTCACTCTCCTACTGCAGATCTCAAGGTTAGGGTTACTAATACATCTGTTCTTGATCTTGAAGTACAAAAATATGCGTCCTTGATCTTGAAGTAAAAAAAATATGCGTCCTTGATCTGTTCTTGATCTACTAATGATCTGTTATAGGTTGATGTATAGCATATATTTCCATCTGTTCTTGATCTTGAAGTAAAAAAAATATGTGTTCTTGATCTGTTCTTTTATCAGTGGATGACTAGTGGAGTATAATTGGTGGTCTGTCCTTTGTATTTTTCTGATGTGTTCTTGATCTGTCTAGTTAGGTGACTAGGCAAATAGATGAATTAGATTGGCTGGTCACAAAAAGGAAGGAATGTGTCTTGTTCGATGCATGTTCGTGCTGTCAATTGGACCATCTTCTTTAGCTTTCTGGTGTGAAATCATATCCTGGTACTTGGAACTTTGCATGACAGTAGATCGACGGTGATATCTACATGCATATCAACTAGATACGGGTTGACTGTTCCTGTAGTTTTCTGATATGCAATTTTCCTATCCGTATGCAGCAGTTGTATTTGTATATGACTTAATTAGGCTTCTGATGTGCAAGTTTTTTTTGGATACATTGTACCTTTGCATGACCAATTGCATGTTAATATAATCACCGTTTATTATCTTTCATCTAAACAGCAGATGTTTGTTTCGTCATCCTGAAATCTATCCAGTTTCTTGTTTTGTACTACTACCAATTATTAGGAAAGAAAGTCATACCAACCTTAAATAGGTATATTTCCCTTATGCAGTTATGGCTCGTCATCCCTTAAGTGCAAGGCGTGGAAGGAGAAATGCAATATTTTTGAATCTGACTACTTCCATTATGCTTGTATACTATTATGTGTGGTTCATGTTTGCATTAGCTTATAGGAGAAAATGTTGGCAAATAGAAAGGAGAATTAAAATTAGAGAGTTAAGGGCAGAGAACTTGTATCGACTAATTGGTGAGAGCGACGCTATGTGTATAAGTCAACTTCGTATGGATAGGAGAACATTTCATATATTATGTGAGATGGTGAGAGATGTTGGTGGTCTAAAGGGTACAAGGAACACATCATTAGAGGAGATAGTGGCATCATTCTTGTATGTATTATCACACCATCTCAAAAATAGGACAGTAGGAAAATTCTTCTATCGAAGCCCTGAGCCAATTAGTAGAAACTTCAATGCTTGTCTTCTAGCTGTCTTGAAGCCGCACCATCTGCTACTTAAGAAGCCTGAACCTATACCCGAGGATTGCACCGATGATAAGTGGAAGTATTTCAAGGTAAATAGCTACTAATAAAAAAAAATTCACTAGATGATCTCAATAGTGGTAAAAGATGCTAATATTTGCACATTGCTCTTTATGTTGTAGAATTGCCTTGGAGCATTAGATGGCACACACATAGGAGTAACAGTCCCAGCTAATCTGAAAGGAAGGTATCGATCAAGGTTGGGTGATATAGATACAAATGTGTTAGGTGTATGTGCACCTGACATGCAATTCATATACATATTACCCGGTTGGGAAGGTTCTGCGCATGATGGTCGGGTTCTTAGGGATGCCATCTCACGGCCAAATGGGTTGCGTGTCCCCGAAGGCCAATATTATCTTGTCGATGCTGGCTACACAAATGCAAAAGGATTTTTAGCTCCATATCGAGGTCAAAGGTATCACTTGGGTGGTTGGACACCACAAAATCCACCTCGTAGCGCAGAAGAGTATCTCAACATGCGCCACGCTAGAGCCCGAAATATAGTAGAAAGGTGCTTTGGAAGGTTGAAGGGTCGGTGGGGGATTTTGAGGTCTCCTTCCTTTTTTCCCATGAAGACCCAATGTCGAATCATCATGGCATGTGCACTCTTGCACAATCTTATATTGCAAAAGATGTCTGTCGACCCACTTGACATCAACGAGCCAATAACACAAGAAACATTAGAAGACATGGAGGGAGAATTGGACCAACCAGAATTCATCACTTCTATCTCAACTTCGAATGAGTGGACAAATTTTCGGAATGAACTTGCTCAAGGCATGTATAATAGACATAGGGCTGCTAGGGCGCATTGAGGTATAAGTTGTTTATATTTGTTCCTTTCTGTATATATTTCCATCTCATTTACATTGGTTCCCTTTCAATTATATTTGCAAGCTACAATTGCATCTCGTTTGCATTTGTTCTCTTTCATATATATTTGCCATCTTATTTGTACCCATTCTTGCTTGTGCAGATATGGACCGTGCGGATAGCTCGAGTACGTCTCGTGGAAGAGGCAAGAATAAAAGGAATTGGTCTTCCGATGAGGACGATGAGCTTATTAAAGCTTTGTATGAGTTATCTTTGGACCCGAGGTGGAAAGCTGATGGTGCCTTCAAGGGTGGATACCTGGGGATATTGGAAAAGCATCTTGCTGAAAAGTGTCCAGGCCGTGGTATCACTGCATCCCCGCACATTGAATCAAGAGTGAGGCACTTCAGGAAGAAATTTGGTGCCGTTGAAGTAATGCTATCCAAAAGTGGTTTCACATGGGATGGAAGTCGAAAGATGATTCAGTGCGAGAAGGCACAATATGAAGCTCATTGTCAGGTAGATCACTTGAACCACTAAAACTGAATTCCTTAGTAATGCTTTGTGCTGAATTTCCTTGCTATTGTACCTTGGTTACCTGTTGTTTTAGTGTTTTCTCTTCAGTATTTTTTGTATTTGGATCATCCCTTGCTGCCTTGTTATTGCTACTATTCCTAACATGTTCAAGGAGAAAGTAGTACCATTTCTATCCATTGTTATTGCCCTTACTATTGAAAACCAACTTCCTTCTTTTCTAAAAAAACATGTAGATTCACAAGGAGGCTAAGGGATTGTATGGTGTATCATTTCCATACTTTGAACAATTGGCTGCTATCTATGGCAAAGACATTGCAACAGGAGAAAGTGCTGAAGGCTTTGGTGAGGCAGTGGGAAACTTGGAGAAGGAAATTGCTATGGAGGAAGAAGAAAATGAGGAAGAGGACATCATCTCAACTGGAACAGCTCGACGGTCCATTGACACTTGCTCTATTGATACAACTAGTTCGAAGAGGCAGAAAAAGGAGCCAAGGCCAAAGAGGGCGACAGGACCAAGTGATCCATTTGCAGCCATGCTTCAAGATGTCAATAGCCAGCTGAACAACGTGACACAACATGTGGGTGCAATGACAACATCATTTACAGCAGCAATGGCGCGAGAAGCAGCACAAGAAGACCCTCAACAGAAATCAAGAGAAAAGGCAATCAGTGAATTGTCTAGGCTTGCATTTACTGGGAGCGAGATTGTTGAAGCTGCAACAATATTCGCTAAAGCTCCAGAGCACATGAACATGATGCTTGTGCTTCCAGACATTCTGAGGAGGGACTTCGTCCTGAAAATGCTGTCCGGTATCCCTTTTTCTAAACTCTCTTTAATAATATGCACTATCTTATGATGCAGTTTTGGTTTTTCCGACTGTTGGTTCATGATCTAACTAGCTAGGTTGCTGAAATCAATGAATTGTAACAAGGTGAAAATGTTCAGCAACTCATGTGTGACCACATTTTTCTAATATGTGATATCTAGACTGCCATATAGATCTGTATGATAGTTGATAAATTATGCTCCTGTTACATGACTGATTTATAACACATTTTGTTATACTTGATTGAATTTATTTGTAAACCTTGGGGGTTGATAGCATTCTGACATTTATCACCATGAGTGGCTCAAGTGAACTAAAATTTCACTAGTACAAAATAAGCCAAACTTGTAGTGACATAGTGTTGTGCTGTTTTTGGCTGGTCATATATAAGCCAAACTTGTGCTGAAGTTTTTTTTCCTTGTATCTAACTCCTGCTTGTTGGCTCCTCATTAGCAGATGAAAGAAAGAAGCAAGGTTGATGGGAAAGAAGGTCCTTCTCTAGTAATGGTGTGACATAACTGGTGTGTACAAAACCCACCTCATTTTACTATTGTTATATATTTGCCAAAAGTGTTGAAAAGCATGGAGTAGATCTCATCCTATCCACCATATTTTAGTTTATGTTCTTGCAATATACACCATTGTAATCTGTGTTAGCTAAGAGAGTGCTTTTCATTTCATTGTCTTGCAGTATACATCATTTTCCTATTGTTATCTTTGTCAAGTGTTGAAATGCATGGAGCAGGTTCCCACCTTTTCCTTTGTCAAAGTGTTGATGAGAAAGAACAATCATGTTATAGTTGCTCTTAATTTTTTTTATTACTGGTTGTTGCTTGTGTGTTTCTTTATCCTCATTTTAACTCGTACTTATTGGCAGATGAGAAAATAAGCAAGGTTTATTAGAAAATGGGATCAGTGGCGTGACGTGGAAGATGAAGATCAATGGAAAAGCAAAGCTTCTTTGCAAGATTGTGAACTTGGCCTTTCTATTTATCCTATAATATAAAAACAATTTTAGGGACTAATTATGTAGTTTATTTCGAAGTGTCGTTGAATTCCGAGTTCGTATCATTTTCATTTTAAATATGTGTAATCGTTAAAGTGGAGCCAAATTCTGGTTAAAAGATGTATTTGCATTGGATGAATGCAAAAATATTTCTAAATTATGTGCTTGTTTGATGCATGTGAAAGCTCATGCTGTGTTCTGTACGTGGAAAGGTACCTGTTACTGTGTCAAACCAAACACTGTTTAGGTACCTGTTTCCTTTACACTGTAGAACCAAACAAAATGGGGTTTGCCCAGTCCGGTGCTGTTACAGTCCGTAATCAGGTTCCATTTACGTTTACGTTACCATTGAACGAAACAAACACCTCCTCAATGAAAGCGACCACCCTGTTACCCCTTGAAAGCCTCAATACAACACACACTATACGACAACATCTTTCATCTTACATGTTTATTCTCTCATCTGTTACTCGCAATACACATTACCAATCTCCGCACTGCCACAGCATCACATCAGTTGATTGCTCAAAGAGGTTGACCGGAAAGCCATCTATCGATCATAGCCAGACACTCCCTTGGCATGTACTCCGGGGCTGTGTGGCCGGCACCCTACACGCGCACATATTTAAATTAACCAACTCACAATTAATTTGCTACTTACTCCATCTGAAATTAGCTGACGCTCAAACAGACATATCTAGCATTCAAATACGTTTAGATACATCTCGTTTTAGCGTCAGCTAATTCCGGACGGAGAAAGTACTACATTGCATTCTACTCCCTTTGTAACTTAATATAAGACATTTTATATACTATCATAGTATCAACATATGTCTTATGTCAAGTTACAGAGGGAGTATTTGTTATGGATGCTAACTAGCTTTGGTAATTAAGCTCAAGTTAAACCTGAAAGCAGTTAATGGCGCATGCATATATTCATCCAGACACGTACCTTTACAGTTGCGTATGTCAAATTGTTGGAGTAAGTTCTTGTGTACCTATGCAAAACAAGAGAATGAAAAGGCGACGTGTAAGGCATCAATATGTGAACTACGACTGCTCAGTTTTCCACTAATAAACACACTAGGCCTCTGCACACAGCCAGAACATATAGGTTGAGCTGGTTTGGTGTCCTTACCCCACAATTTGGTCGTCCAGATGCCATGGTCGCCAACGGTCCGTGATGGGCAGGTTAAGTCGTCTGATCCATGCTTGGGTGTCGACATAAGATACTTTACTGTCATGATCTCCACTGCAGCATCATGAAACGATGAATCTAGTTAATTTGCTTACGATTGTAATTAATTAAGCGACTGTTCACCCAAGTGTATATTTCCATCATCAAATGACTATTCAGGTGAAACGTATATTAGCATGCATGCTTACCTGTATATCATAGCCCGGTATCCTTTAGTAATCAAGGCTAAATGATCATCAACGGTGCTGCTGATTTCATATGTGTAAGGTAGATTGAAATCACATCGTAGCCATGATGGAACGGTTTCCTGCACAACATACACCATATTTACCAAATAAGCCCTTCATTATTGATGGAACATGGGCTTCTTATTTGGTGGCATGCGGAGAATTCCCTCACCGCAAAGAAAAATCTAGGTGGTCATTAGTTAAAAGCTCATAATAGAAGGTCAATATATAATCACTAAAATAATTCTCTTCCAATTCTCACCTCCTACTTTGTTATTGAAACACTAGGAGTAATTCCGGTTTCCTAGCTCTAATTAGGTCCAGTCAAACACTTTATCAAGTAAGAATACATATACCTCTAAGCTAGCCCCACCCTACCTTACCTTGTGAATAGCCAAACTCTCCCTTACAGCTTCGTCATTTGTCCACAACTCGGACAAGAAGTATGTGGCATTCTGCATCAAACAAATGAAGCACAACACTTGAGATTACCGCTAACACTGTAAAATAGGAATAACAAACTGAAACCAATAATAGATTTCGACTAAGCAAACAAGGAATAAAAAAGGGTGTGCCTTTTGCCTTGTTTGTTATAAAATGGGGCTGGGGGGAAACCCCTTTTATTAAAAAAAACGAGAAGTGAAAACAAAAAAACTGAGAAGAAACTAAGAATGGTACTTGAGACGTTTACCCTGCACAGAGACGAAACTGCGGACTCTGTTAGCCTTCTTCTTCCATGATCCTGCGACGTCGGCTGCTTTTGAAGGGCGAGGCTTGGATATTCTGGACAGATTTTCTCCAAGACGTGTACATCGTTTAAGCCCCTCATGCACTGTATCACAAGGCAAAAATGCAGACTAAGTCACCAACTAGCAAGCTGCTATTGCAAGCTAAGTGTGTCGTGCGATTGCTACCAGGATAATCAACACATTTGTGGTCGGTACTGTCACTCACCTCTTGGATGTCTTGGAGGGAATTGGCACAATGGGAGTTCGATGGCCAGCGATATTCTCCTCCACAGCCTTCACGAGCAGCCTGAAAGGTGAATATTACAAGCTTATCATATTTTCCGCACTGCGGTTAACTATGTCTTGTTCCATGATATTCCGAATCAATAGGGATGCACTAGACCAAATTCAGTATTTAAGTTAATATCAATTTGATTCTGGTTGAGAAGCATTATATTTGACTTGAGAGGTAGAAGCAAGCTGATGCTAAATGTAAATTGGTACTAGTCATTTTCTTATAGCATACACATTAATTACTCTCAAAAGGTAAACTTGAGTATGTCCTGACTATGTACCTCGTAGATTTCATCTGGTATAATTCCCATCCCATGAAGAAATGGAATTCGAGCGTTGAAGGCCGTCGTTGTATCAGTCAATGGATTGCCAGCAATGACACCCTGATCAATTAAGATAAATTTCCATGTTGGTACGATTGGAACTCCTTAAACAGATCATGCGAGGACCACAACTTGACATATCTATAAGCATGCTAAACATATTATCAAAGGGAGCCACGAAAGAAAGAATAACCGTAGAATTTTAGAAACTTGATCAATCTTTGTATCTGGCAGCGTATATAAGCAAAAGGTCATTGCAATGTTTCAACTACAAAAGGCATAAATGAAAATAGAGAAAATAAACATGCATAGGTAGACTATTTAGAGCATTGTTGCAATGGACATTGGGTTGTTATTTGTAACTGAATAGAAAATTGACCAAAAGAAAGGAAAGGTTTGTCGTCAATACTCCAAAACCAACTAGGGGTGGCACTAGATGCACGTACAATCTCCCCCTTTTTGGTGATTGATGACAAACTAGTTGAACTTTTCAACGGGGAATATAATCTGTGAAATTGTAAAGGATAAGGAATTGTCTTCATAAGTTGCAAGGGCTCCCGCTGAAGATGTGCATATAAGTAATTTGCTTTTGGAATGCAAATGCACATGGCAGGTTGTACTTGTGGAGATCCACTTCAACTTATGATGACAATCCACTATGCATGTGAAAGTATATGAAGATAATGACAATGCATAATGGAAAATGGACGTCTGCAGAATGATCTAAGTGCGGAATTTATCGTCGCACATGCGGAATTTATCATCGTAAAACAAAGTGGCAGATAAGTAGCAGACGACCATCGAGTTTAAGTGTTACAACTCAAAGAAGCAAATGTAGCAAAATGGGAGTTGTAAGCACGAAGCAAAATATAAAGCACCCGCCCATATGGACCCGCTTGAAGACTATCAACCTCATATGCTTCTCCCCCTTTTGTCAGTAAGGACCAAAAAGGTTTGAAGACATAGAGCATCTACTCATTCCCATGCGGAGTAGGTGAAGTAGCAGGGTCGTTGGTAGTGTTTGGCGGTGCTGAAGAGCTTGGAGCAGAGTTGACGCGTGCTGAAGGAGGTGGTGGTGGAGTAGCATCATCTTCATCCTCAATAACTCTGGCAGTCACTGTTGCAGCAGATGAAGAGAACTCAGAGTCTTCAAGGGATGGAGTTCCTAGCAGCACAACTCTTCGAGGAGGTGTGGAGTCAAACTTGAATCGCTCAGTGAAGCCATCCTCTTGGAGATCTCTTCAGAACACATCATCGTTAGCCCTTTCCATGTGCGGCGAGATGTTTCATGGGCAATGAAAGCATTCTTGGTGGCAAGATTGCGAATGCGATTAACATCCACCAAGAGGCTTTTCATCTGACGCTTCAGCCAGTCATGATGCCTATCCTATTTCTGATGAAGAGCCACAAGAAGCTCTCGGTCGTTGAGAACACGAGTGCGCTTCTTGGGTCTTGGAGCAGTTGTACTATCAGTGGCTTCAGTAGATGCAGGGTGTGGTGCACGTGTAGTGCCAGCCAAAGGATACACCCGAGTGACTGCTTCAACTCCTTCAATGTTCTGTGAGAAACTCTGATGCTCTGCATTCTGAAGACTTAGAGGTTCCTTTGCAGGCTCAGGATAGATGGCTTCAGTAGAGATATCCACATCAGGCAGAAAAATCCTATGATTGCGAGCAGATGGCTGATATGAGATATCAGAGTGAAGTTTAATTAGCTGCATTACCCATGGGGCGTAGAACTTCAAGCCAAACAGATCAGAGCCTGATGCAGCAAGTTGGCGGATGAATAAGTCTTGTGCATTGAAGCATTTTCCATGAAGAATATAGAAGATCAAAGTCTTCATTGCACCCTCAAGCTTGGCATTTGGAGAGTGCCCTTTGATGGGCTAGAGAGTTCGCCTGATGATGTGATAGATGGTTCTTGGCAGATACTTAAGGTCTTCAACGAAGAACTCTGTTGGATAAGCAGCATCTTGGGGCAATGGCTTCATCATGTTGAGCATCTGACTCATATCCGGTTCCGGCCTCTTAAAGATGCTCTCAATAGCTTCACTATGCAGCTGACAGCCATGCTCGTAGAGATCGCCAGGAGTGGGCAAACAAGTGAGCTCAATGATGTCAAATGCATTGGCTTCGTGATGAACGTTTCTGGTCATCCACTCCAGGACCCAAGTCTTCGGATCTCTGCTGTACCCGCGGATGTGAAGTGTGGCATAGAATTGGAGCAGCAGCTCTTCATTCCAATGCTCTTGGTCAGTAACGAACGGCAGCAGTCAAACTTCCTTGAAGCAATCCAAAGCTTCTTCCAGATAGGGCAGACCAGCTATGGCTTCAATGTTAAGGCGCTTGTGTGGGAAGATGCGACCTTGGTTGTAAAGAATGCATGAGTAATAGCTTCGCTGAGGATAGCTCTAGAACCGATCAGATGATATCCTTTCCCTTGAGTAGGGGTTCCTGGAGCTATCGAAGAATGTGTTGTCTGCCCTGAAGCCATTGATATTGAAGGAGCCAGGTGCTGATGCAGGACCTGGGAACCTTGGCAATCTTGGGATTGGATTCTGTACCTGAGGCCTGTGCTCAACATGATAGTCGAACTGGGGACCGACAGCAGACTCAGGAACAGAAGTGACGGGATCAGTGGCTTCGCTGTCTTCTTCTTCCGTTGGGGAGGGCTCCACATTAGCTTCATTGGTGGTTGTGGCAGCCTCAAGATGTTCATCCTCCACTTGACGAGCTGGAGGGTCGGTCACAAGCACTTTCTCCTTGAGAACTGCTTCTTGGTGGGACAGGGGGACTTGTGGGACTTCTTCTTCCGCGGCTGATGCAGCCGGATTGTCTTCAACAGAGATTTGAGGCCTTGGACCTTTGCAAAGCCTGCGCAACGCGGGCGACGCCTGTGGAGTTGGAGTGGGCTGGGCCTCATAGTCTTCTTCCTCTTGTGGGCCATCTGCCCATGAAGCATCCTGTGCAATTGGCGTCAGTGGACGACCAATGCTGATGAGTTCGCTGTTTTCAAGCTGAGGAAGGACTGCACCATCTTCTACATTGTCATGTTGACCAATGTCTTCAGCAGCGATGGGATCAGCTGCTGGAAAGTCTTCAGCTTCATGAGCCTCTGTGGAAGCAGGCTCATGGATAGTCAGTTGGCGTTCAGCTTCAGGATAGACCATAGAAATGGGTTCAACTATCAAGGGCTCTGTGGGAGCAGCCCGATCTTTCTTGGTCTTCCTCTTCTTCTTGGAGGGGGCAGTTGGAGAGGCTTCAGAATGTTTCCTCTTCCTGGCTTCAGCCTCAGCAGTCCTTGTCTTCTTGAGCTCTGAAGCGGTTGACCGACTTTTTGGCTTCGAGCCAGTCAGTCTAGTTGGGAAGACAATCGGAACTGCTTCCTGCCTTGGTGCGTCAGGTTCAGTCGTAGCAGGCTTCTTCTTCTTCTTTGCGGCCATCCTGGGGTCGATGCCAGGACGCCCAAGGGCCTTGCGCTTCTCAGCCTCATTGTAGGCTTGCACACATCTGTCAGCCAGAGTCTTCATGCGCTCACGCGAACCCTGAGCTTCTGCATGTTTCTTTACAAAGGCTTCCTTGAGCTCGTGCATCATACTCTTGAAGTTCTTCACTTCCTGCACGCTGAGCTTGGCCATATGCTTCTTGAACTAAGCCTTTTCATAGTCAATCTTTTGCTTCAGTTCAACAATGCGCTGGGCAATAGCAAGTTCTGAAGCGATGGCGCCTTGGAAAGCGACACTGAGGCCAATTGGTAGCTGCAGATCTTCAAAGCTGATGTTTGGCGTGTCAAACCACTCGTCAATGAAGTTGTGGATGATGGTCACATCAAAGAGAGGCAGATCATTGAAGATTTCTGCTTCTTCTTTGCTCTTGATGAGTTGCTCAAGAGCGTCATCTGCTAGATCTTCATCACTTGACAGATCAATGTCGTCATTGCGCAGAATGGCAGCAGCAGTTAGCTCTTGTCCGGTGTGAGGCAGAGGCATCTTGACCTTCTGGGGCTTGGAGATGCGAGATAAGTCTTCAGACTGCACACTGTCTTCAGGAGGTGCAGTTGCCAGTGGCTTCGCCCGTGAGATTTTTGGTGAAGGGGCATGCTTTGAAGCTTTAGGCTTCTTCAGCTTCTTTGTCTTCGGCGCTGCAGGCGCTTCATCTGATTCAGCGTCAGCTGCAGGCTCATTCACTGCAGTCCCTTGAACTAAGATGCGGGTGATGAGGCCTTCAAGGTTGTAGAAAGGACCGATGACATTGGGTTCTGCATGTCGTGTGCCATCTGCCCTTGGTGCTGAGGGACCAGGGTTGAAGTCTACCCCCAAAGTCTTCTTGTTCTGCTTCGCTGAGTTCTGGGCAAACTGGAAGTTGCGCTTGAACAGATTGTCGTCACGACACCATAGTAGTGATGATGGGTGTGCATCAGCAGGCTGTGGCCCACGGACCATGCAGGGATAGAAGCCTTGTGCAATGGCTTCATCTCTGGACCTAGGTAGAAGATTCTTGTATAGGATGTCTCCCCATGGTCTCTTGATGACATTTTTCTCAGCATATTCCTGGGTTACAAATCGGTATTTGAACCATTGTTCTGCCCAATATCTTCGAATCCATTGGATTCGAGTCTTGCGCTGATTGTAATCCTCTTCAGGATCTGTCTTGTACAGTTCTGAGAGTTCATCTGGCAGATCTCTGGATGTTTCTCCATGATGCTTTCTGCCACCCTTCCTTGCTGCTTTCTCTGAAGCCATAAACTTTAACTTGAAAGGCTTCAAGGCTTCAACACGTTCAAAGGCTTCAAAGGTTTTCGCTTGCTGGACCAACAGGAACTGGCTTTGGGAGAATTAATGTGATGCTGTAAGAATTCTGCAAATGAATGCAGACTATGAGAACCAAAGGATTCTCCCATGGACATGTACCTATGACAGCATTAAGGTGCGAGGGAAGGGGAAGAGGTCATATGCATTCTCAGAAGATTTTGAAGATAAATCAGTTTAGAAGACATTGACCTCATCGTGCGAAGACATTCACTCATAGATAAGGAGTTGGTTCCAGATTTGTATGAATCCACATATCAGTACAAGTGAGGAATCTAACTACTTTGTGAAGCATAAGTGAATATACTAGGCATGTTATGAGATGCAGTATGAGAGAGATCTAACTTGTGTGAATAGAAACTGCTTGTGGTAGAAAGTGACAAATCCATAGGATCAACGGTGCTGTAAAAAGGAAGTTTTATTTACCACACTAAGAACTGCTAGACGAAGTGGAAGATGAGGCCGAGCAGTTCGATCTTCCGTGCCCTAACTTGGCGACGGAGGACACCTACGGCGATGGCGGAGAGGACGATGTCCGCGGTCGGCGTGAAGACGGCGTTGGAGAGGTTGCGGCAGCGAAGTGCTTCGTCGCCGACGTCGTCGAGGGCTAGCGGTGGCACTAGGGTTTGTGCGAGAGTGGAAGAAGAGATAATGACCGCTGTGAAGTGTGTATTTATAGGTACATGGGCGGCACTGCGCTATTACACAGGTGCCCCTAGCGATTCGCATCTGAGGAACACGTGGCCATTATGCGGAATTTTGGGGTTTGTTCCACGTCCCACGCATGCCTTGATTGTCGGGTGGTCGTTCCTACTTCTCCGGGTTTCATGTGGAGGAATGAGCATTGAAAACGGACTTAATGGTTGTCTCTGTATCTTCTGCTGACAAGGACGCAGAGAAGACATTCGACAGTTTCAATAGAATGCATATGATTTGGAGAGATAGAATTTGAGATAGAAAGCATAGAGAGGTTAGGGTCTGATCACATTCACTTAGTTCAAAAGATTCAACAATGAAGACATAGCTATAAGTGAATGCTGTAGAGGACAGAACACTAATATATATATATATATATATATATCTATATAATCAACATAGTGAAGATAATCATGAAGATATGTTGAGATCGAAGCCAAACCAAATGTGAAGACATTGCAAGGTAACACCATGAGTGAAACACTTCAAAATAGAACATTTGGTGGTGGCGTTACCCACCGTATGGGAAGTATTAGACCCAGACACGGCGCACAATTATCGTGGCGCTCCGAAGTCAAATTCCACATTAATGTATTCACACTTAGAATGTATGTCTTCATTGATTGAAGATATACTTTACTTTGTGCGTTGCACATCTAAGTCATCAATTTGCATTAGGGTTAGGATGTGTGCCTGATCACAGGACATTTGAGGATTCCAGGATATTTAGCTCACACCGTAACTTGCAAAATCTCTTCTCATCCAAGGGCTTGGTGAAGATATCTGCCAATTGCTCTTCAGTGTTGACGTGTATGATATCAATATCTTTCTTCACAACATGATCTCTGAGAAAATGATGACGAATTTCAATGTGCTTTGTCTTCGAGTGCTGAACTGGGTTGTTGGCGATCTTGATGGCGCTTTCGTTGTCGCAGTAAAGTGGCACTTGCTTCAGATGAATGCCATAGTCCTTGAGTGTTTGCTTCATCCATAGAAGCTGAGCGCAGCAAGATCCAGCAGCAATGTATTCAGATTCAGCAGCGGAGAGAGATACATAGTTCTGCTTCTTTGAAGACCAACATACAAGTGATCGTCCCAGAAAGTGACATGTGCCTTATGTAGACTTGCGATCAACTTTGTCACCAGCATAATCAGCATCCAAGTATCCAACCAGATCAAACTCTGAGCCCTTTGGATACCATAATCCTAGAGTTGGGGTGTGAGCCAAATATCAAAGAATTTGCTTCACAGCTAAGTGATGCGACTCCTTTGGTGCCGCTTGAAATCGAGCACACATGCAAACACTAAGCATAATATCTGGCCTAGATGCACATAGATAAAGTAACGAACCAATCATGGAGCGGTATACCTTTTGATCGAACTCTTTACCATTATCGTCGGGACCCAGATGATGTTTGGCTGGCATTGGTGTTGTGAAGCCTTTGCAGTCTTGCATACCGAACTTCTTCAGGCAATCTTTGAGATACTTCTCTTGAGATACGAAGATGCCATTGCGTTGTTGTCGTATTTGAAGACCGAGGAAGAACTTCAGCTCCCCCATCATGGACATCTGATATTGCTCTTGCATCATATATCCAAACTCTTCACTGTACTTCTGATTGGT